CCCCTGCCCCCCCTATCGAAACCTCCGCGACCCCTGAACCCTCCTCTGCCGCCCCTATCGTTAAATCCTCCCCTGCCACGATTAAACCCGCCCCTTCCGGTGTTGTGATGTGGTGAACCATCAACTTCATCTTCATCTTGCTCCTCGCCCTCCTGATCGAGAGATATGTTACTTTTAACACCAAGACAACTCAATGTTATGACTTAAAGTAAATGCCCGAAATTATAAGCCACTGCGCTATAGTTGCTTGTATCCGAAAACAAACATGGAGTTGCCTTGGCTTTGAAAATTTTTGGGCATTTACCTTAGCTTCAAATGAATTATCCTTAAGTCTAGGATCAACTTCTACTTTTTCAGTGGCAACACGTCTGAATGGGGTGGTTTTATTTGCATTTGAATCTCCTTCATTGTCCTTCTCACTGGGTGTAGAAACTACTTTTGTGCCCTAAAACATTTTATGATGCCAATTGAAAAAATATCAACTTGTATTTGCGATAAATTTGTTAAAGCTGATATATAAATTTGTGAATAGAAATGAGACTTTTTACCAAAAAAGGTGATTCAAGTGACTAATATTATCCATATTTTCCTTTCTCCCCACCATATTTTAAAAGAAATCCTTTTTTTCATATGACAAATTAATTAGATACAAAATAATTTATAAATATATAATAATTCTTTGTACTGAATTTATACATTTTTGGATAAGCTGTAAGTTCTTGAAAGCTAATTATTTTATTACATACCACATCAACACTTTTCTCTAATAACTTACCTTTACAAAATTGTTGTATGGTTTTTTAGCTGGAGTGGGATCTCCTCCTGATGCTTTCCTTTTTTTACCAGTTTGGAAGCCATTTTCTGTAGCCTAAAAGTTTACAATTAATAAGACAACATTATGGAGCAGGCAATAATATTTTTTAATGAATGGAGGGTTAGCAAAATATTTTTTCTAATCATTTTTTTAATGTAATTCAATATCATGTCGTCATTTTTTTAGAAATGTTGCAATGGTTTTTTTTTATTTCTTGGGGTAAAATAAAAAAAAATATAGAATAGAAATACTTTTCTCAGAACAAAGATCTTTGAAGACACTCATTTTTTTTATAAGAGAAGGGGGGCAAACAAGTTACCAGCCTAAAATATTTGATCCAATGTCCATGGACATCCCCGCAATGCCAGGAATTTTAATACAAAGTGTTAGTAAAAAATTATACCTGATCATTTTCAGTTTTGGCCTTCTTTGCTACTTTAGCAGGTGGACCATCACTGTCACTGTCATCTGATGACTCAGCTGCTTCTTTTGTTGATTTGACTTGAGGTTCATCATCACTACTGTCTTCACTTGAAGAATCTTTTTTAGCTGGTTTTGATTTTGGTGTTGATACAGGAGTCTTTTTAGGGGCATCATCATCACTGCTATCATCTTCAGATGACTCCTGCGCTGGTGCCTTGGCTGGTGTGGCAAGTTTCACTGGTGTTTTAGGCAATGTCTTGGGAGCTTCATCCTCACTATCACTGTCATCTGAAGATTCCTTTTTCGTTTGTGGTTTTTGTGCAGCCTTTGGTGCTGGTTTTTTGGCTGTTTTTTCATCCTCACTACTGTCACTGTCCTCAGAGGATGATTTTTGTTTCTTGGCTGGAGTAGGCTTCGATAATGGTTTAGCAACTGCTGGTTTGGCCTGTTTTTGAGCTGGTTTTTTATTACCATCACTACTGTCACTATCTTCAGATGAAGATGCCTGTTTCTTAGGTGCTGCTTTAACAGCAGGTGTGGTTTGTACTTTAGAGACCACTTTGGGTTTCTTTTTACTGTCATCATCACTACTATCATCATCACTGTCCTCAGAGGATGCTGCTTGTTTTTTTGGTGTATCTACTTTAGCAGGTGTTTTAGCTGGAGTTGGTTTTGCAACAGCTGGTTTAGCCTGTTTTTGAGCTGGTTTCTTTTCATCATCACTACTGTCACTATCTTCTGATGAAGATGCTTTCTTCTTAGGTGTAGCTTTGACAGCTGGTGTAACTTGAGCCTTAGGGGTAACTTTAGGCTTCTTTTTACTGTCATCATCACTGCTATCATCACTGTCATCTGAGGATGCTTGCTTTTTCGGGGTTTCTACCTTACCTGGTTTCTTAGCAGGAGTTGCTTGTGTTTTGACAGGTTTTTGTGGGGCTTTAGGTTTTTCATCGTCACTGTCATCAGTATCATCTGAAGACTCTTGTTGCTTTGCAGGTGCAGCTTTGACAGGTTGTTTTGGTGCTGGCTTTTTACTCTTTTCATCATCACTACTGTCATCACTGTCTGAAGACTCTTTTTTGGTCACTTGAGTCTTTCCAGGAGTAGGTTTTGCTGGTGTTGCTTTTGGTTTCACAGTTGCATTTTGTTGTGGTTTAGTTTTCTTATCATCATCACTACTGTCATCAGAAGATGACTGTTTTTTAACAGCTTTGGGGGTATTTGTTGGTTGTGGTTTTACTGGCTGTTTCTTAGGTTTTGTTGTAGCATCATCATCACTACTGTCACTATCATCTGATGATTGTGGTTTCTTAGCTTGTGGTTTAGGCACTACAGTTTTAGCCTAGAAGATGTTACATTGTTTAAGCAAAATATATAAAAAAAATTAAAATTACCTAAATGCGATAACATAATCAGAGGTAGTGACGAATATAAAATAATATCACCAAATTTCAATATACCAATTTTTAACATCATATTAAGTAAAACAAGTACCATTAAATTTACTAAATTTTGAGTGACTTACATTTGGTTTGGATGGTTTTTCATCTTCAGAACTGTCAGAATCAGAGGATTCTTTTTTCTTATTAGCGACTGGTGCCTTGCCATTTACTTGAGCAGCTTTTTTGGGCTTTTCATTTTGATCGCTAGAATCATCAGAACTAAATATTTACACGTGTTTATCATACCATATTTGGCTGTTAAGAATACAACTATAGAAAATGATTTTCACGGTGTCAAGTATTTTTTTTATTAACAAAATCTACCACAGGTTTAATATACGTTCACATACAAGAGTCTAAAAGTGAGTAAAATATAAAAAAATGCTACTGAAATTTGGAGCTTTAACATTTGACACAAAAATCTTTGAAATGGACATGGCTTTAATTACCTTTCGCGCGACAAATCTTTAAGTGCAGAAACCTTTTTCAGCTTTATATATTCTTTTATAATTTCACATAGGTTTGGTAATTTGTCTGAACTTGGTTTCTGAAAAAAAAAGCAAATTATTTTTTTTAAATAAAAGAAATGGTAGCTAGACAGCAAGGTAACCACATTATTAATTTTGTTTTGTATGCGAAAAAAGTATGTCTAAAGTATTTCGTGAACCACGTGTGGATACATTAGGCTAACACGTGGGTTTAGTCTCCAGCAGACTTACCAATTTAGATTTTTCGATGAATTTCTGCGCCAAAGATTTATCAACTGTTTGGATAAACTGACTAACAAGTGTAATGGCATCAGCCTTAATATTAACAGGGTAATCCATTTTAATAAAAAATTAAGCAACAGCGGTTAAAGAAACGCCGCCGCAAGACCACAGACCACAAGATCAAAGAGATAGAAAATGGCAAGATCGCAGAACCGTAGACATTTAGCATAGAGTATAAAATGTATAAAATAGTAGATAGGTACACAGCGCTCCGAATATTTTGTCGATGACTATTCTATAACGATTGTTACAAATATTAGTGCTATAATAGACCTACCGATTAGAGCTTCTTGTACGTTACTAAATATGTAATACACGGTTGTAATTTTAAATACTGTGAGTGTTTGAGTTTTGTTGTCTAACCCAAAGCTTTAGATATTTTGTTCCGATGTAAGCTTTGCAAAATATTTTTCATTAGATTTGTAGAAATATTTAAAAAAAGCTCATCCGCGTTAATGTAATAATTACTACCAAAGTTACGATTTTTTTCGTATGGCAAATATTAGAAAGAGACCTTCCGAATGCTTCCTCTCTTATTTCATTAAACAGATTGGAAAAGTTCTGTACCAAGTCTTAACACCTCGCAATAAGGTTCACTTTACTAGTTTGCTTTGGTGTTTGATGAAAATTGAGACAGGAAAATGAATTGACAATTGGTTTTTATATTTTTACATAATCTATGTTTCAAGCAGTTCAGCTATTGATGTTTTTGTCTTGTTGTTGAACGGATGAAGGATATTATAGTAACCAACTATAAAAAGACATCGTATATATTGTGTTTATCTTGCTAAGTGTGTTAATATTTTTTAAATGGTGTTCAAAATTATTTGTATAGTTATGTAGAATAGGTTTCTGTGAAATGAAAAAGTGACATCTTACCCGATGACTGCTTTGTCGATATGCAATGTGATCACGATCATTATTATTAATATAATGTCGTAAACGAGGTGTAATATGTTAGGCGAGCGGCATTGAGGTAGAAATAAAAGTAGACATAATGCCAGTCCAGCTAATAAACGTGAAGAATTCATCTGATATAGAAAGCTGGGAATGGGGTGGTGGTGGATGTGTACGGGAGGCGGTGAGAGCCGGATCAGGGAGCAGCCGGACGTCTTGCAGTAACTCGAGCGGGGACATCTGTCGCATCTGTCACTGCGAGAGTGAGGCTCATAATCCTTTGCTGGCACCATGCTACTGTTCTGGTGAGCTCAGTTTTATCTACACCCTGAAATACATTAATTATTTGACCAAGCAATGGTTGTAATTTATACTAACATGTAAATTGCATGATAATGTCTTTTGCATAATTAATTTTGACATGTTACAAATGGACACAGCTGTTATGTTTTATGTTTAGAAATAATTATTTCTACTATTGTTTAAAAGTGGAAAATGAATTTCTATTTTAGTTAAAGGATAACCCTTAATAATACTTTACACAAGTGAATCACGCTATATTTTTATAAAAATGTTCTTAAAATTAGGAAATGATTACATTTACATTGTTTTGAAGTTTTTTTGGGTCTTAATTTTTATGGCAGAAAATATAAAAAACAGTAAAAAATGCAGTAGTTTGGTTTGGAATAAAAATAAATAAAAACATAGAGTAGGTGAGGGTTAAACCATGATAAATAATATGAAAAAAAAGCAAAAATGTCTCTGCTATGTTGTGAGTAATGTAAATTGGACCATTTTCTATTATAAAAACCGTGAGTGATTACCTGTTACAATGAGAAAGTATGAAACAATTTTATTTGTGTATATCATTTCCTATTGCGTCAATAAATTTAGTGAAAATATGGCATGATAATGGATTATGTTTAATATAATATGTCATTAATAAAATGAATTTAAAAATAGATGATAATAGCATAAAATATTAAAACTTATTTATGAAGGTAATAGATTAGTACCTAAATTAGTAACCAATGAAATATAAGAAAAATATACAGTTTTCTTTATGAAGCAATACTGTGATTGAAAACAAGCATACATATTGTACATATGAGGTAAATGGTTAATTTATGTCAGCCATTTAGTACAAAAACCTAAAAAATACATGGATTAGCTACAAAAAAACATTGCAATTATCGCAAATTTATAAAGACTGTAAAGGAAAGAAAATATTTCACTTGACAACAGATTAACCCAATGAATGAAAAGAGTTACATTTTATGGAACTCTTTTTATCTCTTTTGGGGTTTGTTAAGTGATGTAACCCTTTTAATTAATTTAAATTACCGTTGATTTAAACAATTCTTACTTTTCTGTATTAAATTATATGAGAGAATACAATACATAAGACAATTGTGATGTTTAATTATGTTTGAGTTTTAAATAAAATCAATTAGGTGAAGGTTAGTAGCAAATTGCAAGAATGTATTGACATAAGTAATTTTACATTTATTGCTTACACAACTTGACCTTGTGATGTATATATGTAGTGTGTTGTGTATATACATATGTGATGTGAGCATGTCACATGCAAACATGTGATGGAATTGATGAATAAAGGATATACATTACTGTCCACTGTATATTGTGAAATTTGTTATAGAACCTTTTTTGTTAGATATACTCTTTTAAAAAAAATATTCAAGTTTGGTGCCCAAAATGATAACATTTCATGGATTTTAATTTAAGGTTTAGAAAACTAACTTTAAAGAATATTAAATTATTAATTAAGTACTGAAGGTTCATTCAAAGTTGCCACATCAACATTATGGTTTTGAAGGATTATGTCTTGTAAATAATATGGTTTATTTCAAAATGGGTGATTTTTTATAAATTATTTTAATTTCTTTACAGGCAGTCTAAAATATGTACATCAAAGTTGCCTGCAACAATGGCTCACAGCCTCGGAAACTCGATCATGTGAATTGTGCAAATTTAACTTCATTATGCATACAAAAATAAAACCATTCAATGAGGTAAGTTTTATGATGTTGCATCACACACCATTGAATTAAGCCAATTTTTAAGTATAAACAAATCCTATTGCAATGGTAAATTGCTTTGTGTTTATCAAATTGTTTTGCATAACTTAGCATAGAAAGTATGTTGTTACAAAATGAGATATAATTTTATTGGATACATAGTAATATGTTTGGAGTTTTATATACAAAATATATGTACCCATGATGGGGGTTATTAGAATTAGGATAAATGCCATTCCTTCAATATGATACATCCATTCTATGAAGATCTTACTTCAATAATAGTGGGAATAATAGATAAACTAGTCCCTATGCATTAGATTTTTCATTATATAAAATGTAAAAAAACTCATTGATACTTTGTTTTTATACATGATTCATCTTCGTCTACAAAATGTTTTTATCGCAAAAAAATTGTTCATTTGCTTTTTTTTTATAAGTTTTTTGGTTGCTTCCTTGCGTTGCTTTTTCGCGTATTAGCCAATTGTATGAAACTGGGAACTGACGTCATAAATATAAAAACATTGTTACTATGCTTAGTGTCATGATAATAGTTTACCGACGTAATCGACAATCATGAGATCCAAGTTCTAAAGTAAAAAAATGGAAGATTTGTTCAAAGCGTGGTACTACGTGATACTCAGTCAAGAGTTGGGTTTGATTCTACAAATGCTGCACACTGATAACAGCTTTATTTATATGCAACATAGAGATGGTTGTAGCGTAGCATTGTGTGTGGTAGTGGCGTCTGCTGGAGATGTCCGGGTTGGAGCGGCGCCGGCTGTGCTGCGCCGTGCTGTTCCACTGCGTCGCCGCGCTCTGCGTCATGTGGTCACTCTTCGTGCTCATCGAACGCGCCGTCGAAGAAGTCAATAGGGGGCTAATTGGTAAACATCGTATTAGAATATAAATGAGCAAGAAGGTTCTCGTGTTAACATGTTAACACCCATCATAGACATCCTTAAGATTTAAATATATTTTTACAGCTCATTATGATAGATTAGCCATCACCAGCGATTCCGTCCGACCGAAATTAAAAATACTTTATTAGTATCCCATGTGTTCAATACTATGTTTACAAATATAACAAATTTCAGAGAGATCTATACAGCCATTCTCGAGATATCTTCAAACAAACATCCATCCATCTAAACTTTCGCATTTATATTAATATATACGAAAATAATTCTGACTTTATTTGTTATTTGGTTTTAAAGCCAATAGTCAAATAGATAGTTGTAATGTCGTGTTTGTGTTGCAGCGTGGCCGTTCTGGACGAAGCTGGTGGTGGTGGCGGTGGGGTTTACTGGTGGCGCAGTGTTCATGTACATCCAGTGCCGACAGTATCTGCACCTGTGCAACCGGTGGCGCGCCCACAATAGGTAACTATTACTTTAGCTCCCGGACCCTCGCCAGTAAGCCAAAGAGGATACTGGAGTACTTCAATCTAATCTACTCTTGTACAAAATACCCGCTAGTCTTGATGCTGCAAACTGTAGCGATACAATCATACATGATATAGACATACGAGACAGTTTGTTTGTTGGTATCGATAATTGAAAAATTATTCCCCAGTACGTTTGCTTACGATAAATGTTAATTATTGGTAATTTTTTCACCAGCTCGCTCGGTTGTTTTAAGAGTTATTAAGTGTGTTAGTATAGAATGATGAAAAATACTTAGAGACTCTTTGCGACTTTTTGTTGATCTATATTTCAGCAGTAATTTACTTTATTGGCGTTTCACTGGAGTAAACTTCGTGGGGTGATAAGTTTTAGAAAATTGACGTCTGCACTAGTTCTACTATCGTGCCTCGAACTATACTTTCTTATCTGTAACATGCATGGCGAAATGTTTTGTTATAATGTATACGGTTGCGACACCATTTGGCCGCCTTCAGCTACTTTTTATTACCATAACCGATAAATCAATATTGTGTGAGTAATAATCATACACTTTTTCAACCGAGTAGAACTCTAGAATTCTACTTTGCATTAGTTTGTTTTATAAATCATCATCAGCTCTCTATACGTCCCCACTGAGGCACTCAGGGCCTAACCATAGTTTGGGGTGAAAAGGCCATAGTCAACCACGCTGTCCCAATGCGGCTTGGTTGACTACACATATATTTCAATTTATTCACATATATGTGCACTTTGCATCACAATGTCTTCCTTCACCGTAAGAACATGGGATAAGTGTAAATGTG